GGTAATTAGGTATATTTATTATTGTAATTTTTTTTATTTAACAGAGGTACTGGGGACTGAACCCAGGACCTCGTGCATGCTAAGCACGCACTCTACCACTGAGCTATCCCCTCCCCCCTTTAACACTTTTATTATTGTATCTCTATCACATCTACCCTGGGGTGGGTACACACACACACACACACACACACACCCAACCCACACATGCATGTGTATGCCTATAAGCATACGTGGGAAGGTGTATGTGTCTACATACACTGTTTTTCACCCCCCCAAACAGTGGTATATGAACTCTGAAATGTAACCTGAATTTTGGTTAAACAGTGACTAAATTCACCTTCTACAGGTGAGGGAGCAACTTGTTCAGGTTGGTCAGACGGGAGCTGGCTGTGTGCACAGGTGTGAGATGCAGTAGTTGATGGGCAGTTCTGCACACGAGGATGTGAGCAAAACTGTGAGGAAGCTGGGCCCAAGGGGCCACTCAGGCTGGGGGAGGCGGCGGAAGGGTCAGGCCGGGGAGGAAGTGTGTGTGTGTGTGTGTGTTTGTGAGCTGTGGGTGTGGCTGGTTTTCCCAGAATTGTCCCTGGGTGAGGTTCTTAGGCACCCAGAACCTCCTAATGACCGTCCAGACACATGGACACCTCTACTGTGCCACATCCCACCAGGTCGGTGACCACCCCCCAGTACCGGCCTCTGGGGAGCTGCGCAGGACCACTTCTGCTACAGGGTTCCAGGCTCCCTTTCCCTAATTTTCCCCCTTGGTGCTTATTCTGTGCCACAAATTCTGCAGTCAGGAGTCATACTGGAAGAGCCACAGGGCTTTCCTAGAGCTTCCTCTTAGAGCTCAGACACTTCTGGGGAGCATGCGCCTCTGAGTCTGGCCGCTAAAACCTTAGTGTGAATAGTTCTGGAGCATGGAAATAGGCCTTCTGAGCCTGGGGAGCACTGGGGAGCACTGACAGGTAGACGTGGGACGGGATGAGGCCGGGGAGGAGGCGGGGTGAGGGCAGGGATGCTGAGGACTCACTTCTCCTCTCCCTGTGCTGCAGGGCCAGCTTTGCTCCCCGGGAGCTGGGAGAACACTCCGCTTTGAAGAGAGCAAAATGCACTTGGACTTTAATTCTGTTTCACTGGGGCCAGTGGCTCTCAAAGTGTGGTCCCTGGCTGGGCGGTAGCAGCATCACCAGGAAACTCCCCAGACAGGTTGAATCAAGGCTTGAGGGCCGCCCGGCCGTCTGTGTTTTCACCTGCCCTCCAAGGGATCTGGGTGTACGCTGGAGTTTAAGAACCACTGCTTTAGGTAAAACACCGTGAGTATTCTGTGTTTCACTGGGTTGAGTATAAAAGGGCCATGAAGATGCTCCCCATTTCCCCTTTCTGGTTCCAGCGTCTTGGGCTCAGCTGGGGGCCCGGGAGCTCCGGGGGTGTGGCAGTTGGGTTTCATACTTGGGTGTATCAAACTGCTAGTGGGACTGTATTTTATGAGACTTCCTATCCAAGTAGAAGTTTTGCACCACTTTATAAGATGTATTAATTTACTTAATAGTCGATTATTAAGCATCTACTGTATGCCTGGTGTTTTGCCAGGTGCCGGTGGGCACCAAGGTGATTAGTTTCACTTTTTGGGGGTATTAACCAGCCACGCTTCAGTCCAGGGTCACTCCCAATATCACCCTGCGCTGGCCCCTCTTCTGTGCGGCTATGACGGATGCCTGCTGGCAAAGGCTCCCTCGGGGGAAACCGAGGCAAAAGGAAACTCGAAGTCCTTCCCGTGTGGGGTGGGCCGTACCGTTCAGATAGGCGTTCTGGATGTCAATGGCCTTGGTGGACTGGTCATCGGCGGAGCAGTGCGGGTGGTGGGCGGGGGCCCCGAACACCTCCAGCATCCCCTTGGTGAGGCCGGGCTCGAACATCATGCTGCGGCTCCTGACGCTCACGTTCTCGCAGCCCGGGTACAGGTTGTTGATGCTCACAGAGACTGCAGGCCAGAGAGCAAGCCGGTCAGACCCTGCCCGCGCGGCGCGCCGCTGCCCTCCCTC